CACTAATCATTCAATCAAAATACTATGACATTGCAGTGACTTTCCTGGTCATGTCTCAGCACTTATGTACATTATTTTTTTTATTTTCACAATTGTCTAATACTCTAAGGAATCAGTTGAAAGCTTTTTGGTTCTTAAGTCTTTGTGTGTTTTTCTTCAGATACGTGGCATTAATGCAACTCCTTGAATGCTGCAGCGTGAATAAAGATCGTGAACAGGCTATGGTATGCTCAACTTATGATATAATATTATAACTACATGTAGAAGTATAATTTCTGAAGCAAGAGTGTAAGAGCTGATCAAAGTCTGGGCATGGCTAACTCTCATGATGTATCCAAATTGTCTTTAATTGCAGAAAGTATTTGAGATCTTGGCCAAGTATGGCTATGTTATTTCTAAGAGAAAGCAAAGCAGTATATTTGATAATACACAGATGCCATTATCCCATAGGTAAGCTTAGAAGTCAGGAGCATTTATCTGCAGGCCTCTCAGCCCACAGTGGGGGCACATTAAAAACACCAAAGAGTCAATGAACAGATTTAGTTATTCACTGTTAATAGGACTTTACTGATAGAGACATTGCAGGGAACTTGAACACTTGAAGATATAATTATTATGTTGGTAGATTTATGCTACCTAAGAACTTAAGAAACTTGTTGGGGGAGTGTCATAATATCATAGGTATAGACCCCYGACCCCTGAACCAGCTGAGCTGTGAATTTTGTTTTAGCCAATCACAGTGTGTTTAGCTGTTTTGCCGCCGGCCCTTATTCCAAGGTCCCTGTAGCCCAACTTTGGCATATTTTTCTGTTTTCTTTCAACTAAAATATAATTAAATTATAAATGCCTACAAGAGGCAGAAATATGGAGAGGACAAATAAAAACAATATCACTTTACTGCCATGTTTGCTTCTTTCAAGCTAGTTTTGGGCTGGTCATTTTGTCCAATAATGCTTTGGGCCCTGTGTTCTCAGCTCAGCTAGGAGATGCCCATTGAGTGCTTGTAGATTTCACCTCACTTGTGTTGTAGAATAAAGGAGCCCACAATCTCACATTTTCGTTTCAGTAAACTTTCAATTCCAAATAAAACCTATAGGGCAGGTGCATGTATGTCAAATGTTGCTGCCATCTCGGTTGACATTAACAAAGCATATTAGCTTCTCTTGTTAGATCAACCAAGATGGGGGCTGTTTCATTGTTATTCATATTTCAAAGGATTTTGAGTCTCATGGTTACAGACACTCTTTAGTCATGGTTTAATAATCATCTTGTTGTTGTTATTTGCCACAGGTTGTACATAAATGGTTTGTTTAAAAATGCTGAGGAACTTGGTAAGTAATAATGGCRGAAAAATCATTTCTCTATCTTATTTTATTCTTCCCTGTTCGTTTCTGTCTCCCTTTCTTTCCTTTTTTGTTTCTTTAATTCATAATACTTCTCTTCAGTCCTTCCTTCCTTTTATCCATTCTTGTTTTCATTTTTCTTCCTCGATCCTTTGGTTTTTTCTTTTTACCTGCCTCAATGTCTTTCTGTTATTGTGAAGTTCCAAAGGTTTTCCATACCCACCCCCACAGAGGAATTTGGAATTTCCAAAGGGTGGGTGGGGGCAGAGAAAAGAAATTACRRAGTTCGTATGGAAGAAAATTGAAATTTCCGTGGTAGATTTTWAAAAAATTCCTCAGTGGGAGTGGGGGGTATACGGATAATTTTTGAAACTACACATTAGTGCTTAGGCTTGCAAAGGAATGTTACAACTTCAGTTATTTATACTATTTTTTAACTGTTTGAATAACAGATAAGCGAAGGGCTAAATACAACATGCCGAAGCAGCCAGAAGTTTCCAAGGTACCATATATGTAATTATTTTTTAGGGAGGTATATTGGAGTTGTCTTTTTTTAACATGATTCTAGATTTGCCAAATTTGGCCAAGTATAAAATTGCAACCAAATCATACTTCCTTATTTGTTTTAGAGCTGTTTTCTTACTAAGAAACTGTAATTATGCAAATTACTTCATAGAATTTACATTCAAGCACTAGCTATGAAATTTCAAGTACATCTGTAGCTTGCAACTTGTAACATACCTTGCGATTTCTATCTCATTTGTATCACTTCCACTTAATGAATCAATGTAGTAAATATTATTATATTCTTTATTTTGTTTGATAGAATGAAGAGGCGGAGAACTTGTAATAATATGTCAATGGCAGCAAACARGGGAGAAATGGCAGAAACACATTTCACACTTGGTTTTGATTGACAACTCTGACAGACTTAAGAGCCATAATGTTGCACAGTCATTACATAATTATGACATGAGGTAAAAATATTATGGCGTTCCCCAACAGGGCCCAGTAGTTTGAAGRATATAGTGGTATCCAACAGATAAATCCTTTTCCAGTGAATAAGTCAAAGTACTTATCCAATCAATTTATCCCCTGGATAAGATTTATCTGTTGGATAGTGCTATCTGTAGACCCTTTATATGACCAGGCACAGTAAGTTGTTAATGTCACTGGACTGCTGCAAATAACAGTTGTACTATGTATCTTAGCTTTTGAAAGCTAGATTGTTATTTAACAAAATTAAACAAAATTAATACAATGGTAAAGAGTTTTGAAACTGTTTAGCACTTCATATGGGATAAAACGTCTTCAGAATAGACCTCTTGCAGCACGACTTCACACTTCTCAGGAGATTGAAATTGTTTTGTCTCCCAGATTGTTTAATAATTATTATTATAAGGTATGGTTTATACCTCTTTAGTTTGGGTGTCATGCTTGCCCATTTCCTACCACGTGTCATCATTCACAAATGCACATGACTGGATACTACTACTGGAGACTACATAGCTTTAATATGTCCAATATGTCCAAAACAAAAAGGAGGGTTTTTCCAAAACGGCCTCAAATCCTGCTGAAACTTCGCCAGAAGACTGTTCAAAGTAAAAGCAACAATTGCAGCAAGTTTTGACTAGGCAAATTGTTGAGTAAAACATTTTATTGTCATGACTTTATCATAACTCCCATACATTCCCTTATAAACACACAGGTTTTTTCAGGCAGTGCACTGATTCTAAAAATAGCTTACAGATTCGGACAAACATTGCATTTGGTTTAACCGCTACGAGGATTATACGAAGCGATATTATTATTTTTACAGTAATAACCCATGTAAACTAAGATCAACTGCGATCAGCTGTGAAAATTATCTGCTGAAAGTACACTTGTAAGTTTGTTTGTCCAAATTTCCTCATGGTTGAGCTGCGCTATTGAAAACAATGTTGAGGCTAAAAAAGGTTCATTTGTGCTACAAGTTACCCAATCTGCTTTCACTCCGCTAGCTCAAAGATTTCCTTCAAAATTAGTAAGCTAAAATTTTGATATAAATTTTTAAGTATTTATTTATTACATTATACGTCTGTATGTATATGTATGATACATTTTGGGAATAATAATAAAATTATTGTAATTTCCATAAGTTATTGAGAATTACACACTTCTTATTGGCCTATATCAATATCTAGCCTGGTATTTATCACAGACTGTAAAAACAAATATTGAAATGAGATCTACTAACCAAGACGAACTATAGCAATTGAAAGCATGATGTTTAGTGGCAGAGATCAAGAAAAATTTCAAGGGGGTAACTGTAAGAGGCATCACATAGCGCCCTATTTTGAACTTATTACTAACAATCCTTATTCTTATTTTATTAATTTTTTCAACTCCCAAAAGATGACTTGCACTTACACGTCATGTGACCCTAACTCTCTTAAAATAAAAAGCTGTGTCAAAATAAACATCGAAAATGGAAAGAGCACCTCAATGTTCTAAGTAGGGTGGACAAGTTTTAGCTCATACCAAGTGAAAATTAGAAGAAATGGCATTAAAATTATATTTCCATGTTTTGTAAGGATGTGTATGAGGAGATGTGCTGCATGGCAAGAAGTTGCCAGCCAACACTTCTACCATACAAATCCTCATAAAATGTCTGATTTTATGTTAAATGCCATTTCTCCTATAGTCAATATTATGAGCTGAAACTTCACCCTCTTACTAATATTGAGCTCTTTTCATTTCTAATGTTCGTTTTCATGCAGCTGCTGGTTTTAATTGAGGTAGGGTCACATGACCTGTTAGTGCAAGTTGTCTATTCGAACCCCCGGGATCTGCCCTTGAGTGTAGAGTAATAGTTAACTTGCCTTGCCCATGGACTTAGTATTATTATGTGCTAGTTAGATTTCAATGTTATACTAGTGCTATATGTACACTGTGACCCTAGAAGGCCCCACCAGGGCTAAAAAAATGTCTTGTCATTCGCTGGCCATGATTACTGGCCAAATTAGTTTTCAGCTCAGTTTGTACCTTATTTGTTTCTGGATCAATATTACTGGTCATGACCAGCAATGCAAAGATTTTGCTAGGAAAGTTCCAGTTCTGGCTGAGCATTGGCTGATGACTGGCTGTTTACAGTATTTACATTTGTCAACTCTACTGTAATAGGAGTATAATATTATATCAACAAATGTGCAACAAACTTTTACATTTCTTCAAAGAAGTCACTGTATACAACCTCTTGTGCAGACTGACAGTCCTTAACCTGGTTAAAGAAGCTGCGTAACCAGACCTTCATCTTCCTGTCACTTGGATATTTCTTGTTTCTGATCTTGTCAGTTAGGTAGTGCAGCCATTGGACATTAGTCACTGGAGTAAATTTCTCCCAGTCATCTCTGTAAAACAACACATTGTAACAATATTAGACACAGATTAAGTAAAGTACCAGTGGTAGAGAAGTTGTCTAACCTGCAACACCCATGCCTGCCATTTTAGATAGATAGCTTTGAACATTAGTCATCATTGCAGCCTCTGGGCTGGCCGAATTGCAATATTCTTTTACAATTAAAAACAAATATTTAACATATAATCTAAACATCAATAAAAGAAAAAGGAGATATATAGAAACAAAAGAGAGAAAAAAGAAACAACCTAACAAATAATAAAAGAGGAATTTAGCAAACATCTAAAATTATGTTAGATTGAAGTCATTAAACCCGCGTGAAATAGATATTAGACTAATACACTATAGTAGACCCTAATTCCATTGTTTTCTTTTTTGTCTATTTGACTATTACACGTTGACTAGTATTTTTTATTTCACTGGTTAAATGCCTCTATTCTAGTCACCTCAAAACTACTATTAAGGGGAATAGAATATATACTAAAAGCTAAAAAGGGGAATCTAAAACTTACTGCTGATTAAAACAATATTTCATTATAAAAGTATTCTGAATATTAGTCTTGCGAACTGGAAACTGGTAATAATTTTGCAAATACCTTTGGCAGCACGTGTGGCAGGTTGATTAATTTTGCAACAAAAATATAAAAATTAATCAAATTTACTGGGATTTTTGATTTTCTACAGACTTGGTAGTTATGAGCTGCAAGTGGGAATTTGGTTTTTGCTGCAGTTAATCAAAAATAATTGGTACCTTTTATGTTCTTGACTGGAAGCAGTGAAAAAAATTTTTCACAACAAGCCGTCGAAATATCTGAGTTCACAGAATATTGAAAACTGCAGTAATCATTGTGTTACTGTTATCAAGCGATTATTAATTACGCTTTTATTTCATTTAATGGTTGCCTGGAAATCCATAACTTCAAGAGGAAAAGTGACACCTCACTTTTACGATTTTTTATTCTGCTTGGCTAACATTAATTATTAGATAAGCTGCATGTGATTGGCCTATGCTCTAGGTCCCTATTGACTGTACTCTCTCCCCATTGGCTGCAGTTTTCACACTACATTACATATCATGATGGGTTAAATGTAAGAGTCAGAATAATCCAAGATTATAGGCCATTTGCATTATGGCGTCATTTTACTACCACTACCAAAATGCTTCGTGAATTTTCTTTCTTATTCAAATTTGTAGTTCCTCATGGGAATAGTGAGACAATTTGTGCTAATTAACAGAACAAAAGACAGTGTGCAATGGAGTCTGGTAGAGGTAGTAAATGACGCCATAATGCAAATGGCCTATTAAACCAATGCAAAGGACAAAAGTTTCTACTTACTCATTTATCTCACGCATTTGACGATATATTTCAAACTGGTAATCTCCTTTACCAGTGAAGAGTGACTCGTCTTCAGAAAGATTACAAAATACAGTGACATCATCTATGAGGGATATATCTTCAGTTAGTAATTGACCTATGTCTTCAAGACATGAGCCATTTCAGACCATGAGTGATTCCCTAATGTATCATTAATGGTTATGCAAGACATGAATATGGATACAACTTAAATGAAGGATCTGGAGTAGAGAATGATACATGGTCTGATATTGAAAACATAATTTAAGCTACAGAAGATTATAAAAGTATAATCTTATTCATTATGAATTTAAAGGAAAAACCTGCACAAATTTATGTGGTCCTTGCAAAGTTGTTTGATTGGATTTTATGAAATTCCAAAAAGTAAACTTAAAAAAAAAAAATCAGCACCTTACTACATTGAATCTTGTAGATTCATTAACAGTGATTTTGTGAATTTTTACTTATGGACTTTTAAAATGCTGACATGCAAACATACTTACCTTTTCTTAACCGTGAGAGTGTGAAATCAATAATGCTGACATGCACCCCATAACTGTTTATTTTTATTGCTTGTCCATTAAGACAATAGTTTACTTCTTGTGCGTCATTGCGAATGATTAAGACATTTCCCCAGTGTAAGTCTCGATGTTCAAATTCAAGACTGCTTTCAGCTACGGCAAGGGACAGGGTTATCTGTTGTAACACACTGATGGCTTCAGAACAGGAAATGAACTCAAAGTGTTCCAAGTCTTGTCCTCCATTAGCAAATTCAAACACTAGGAAAAACTGGTCTGAAGGGAATATATCGGTAAAGAAATCAAGATGTTTACAGTAATTATTATAGCTAGTACTTTCTAATAACTGCTGAAAAATATATCTTTTGGGAGAAGACAAGAATTTAAAGTGACTTTCTTATTTACTTCTGAAACAGATCATATCAAATAGTTTACAGTAGAAACAAGAACTACTTTGCATGTCAAGCACTGAGCAATCAAATACATGCCGTAGACCCCTTTCACTGAGTCCCAAGAGGAATTGGTCTGGGGGACAAAGCAATAGGCAATTTTTTCTTATGCAAAAAATACATTGTTTTGTTTCCCAGAACAAATTATATTGGGACTCAGTGCAAGGGGACTACAGACTTGTGACTAAGATGACATTACCAGGTTTATCATTTTCTGATTGGTTATTTTTGTCCCATTTCATCCATTCTCTGATCAGGTGAGCTGGATACTTGTCTTGCACCAAACTAACTCTGAATTAATGAATAATTAATTAATGAACATTATCTACAACAAGTGTTAGAACAAACATGTACCTTTATACAAATATACAAATTGATAAAAATTCATTTTGCTATAACTTGATCAGTAACATGGTTATTAAATATTGTTACTGGGCTTCCTGTGGATAACACAGGTAACCCAACTGTACATTTTGAAGATATACCTGTTAACATCTATGAAATTTGGAGTTGAATTTTCYTGTAATTCTTCCTAAAATTAAATTTCAGTTATTAATAATATTAACTAATAGTAATTTATAAAACTAAATTGCTGTATATTTTTTCAAGCACAGCAACAGAGATGAGTATATAAACAAAAGTAAATCATAATCCAAATACTAAAATACAGTATGGTTCAAATACTTACAGAATATTTCAAAGCACTCAACTCCCTAGAAGATCAAAGATTATGCATTTAGATTTATTGACTAGAAAAAGCATTTTTGATAAAAATAAAATTAAATAATGTTAAATATTATGGCTTACCATAAACCACGAAACGAAACGAAACGAAACGACACAATAAAATGCGAAACGAGGATTTCGCATTTTACAGATCTTTAAAATGCGAAACCGTTATTTCGCATTTTACAGATCTGTAAAATGCGAAACGACACACTGTAACCTGAGTCTTTATGATCCCATGTTTAACTGTAAGCTTACTCACGAAATTGGATGAAAACTGTGTAGCTCCATGTCTTAGAAAATTAGAGATTACTTTAAATCTCAGTGGGAAGAACTTTCCATGTACCAAAAGCCACAAATTTATAAACTATATTGAAATACTTCAACTGCTGTTGTTGTGGCGCCATTTTGAATGCACAGGGACCCCAATCGAATCATAAACCATAATATATGACAATAGACATCAGAGAAAAAATTTTAGACGTTTTTACTTTTGAACTTCTTTCAATGAGGGTAGAGAAGTATGGCGTTTAAAATTCTTTGAAGCGTTTTCCTTATGTTTTGCCGTCGAGATATAACAGTCTGGTGCTGAAACAGCTGTACTAGAAAAATGTCATTAGCATGAATATCACTTTGAGTATTAATTTTGAATTAGCCACATGTTTATGTTAGTTATGCATAGTTTGTGCTGCATGCTTTTATCAGAAAAAAAACAACCTAGAAATAAATTGAATCCACTTTTCTCGCTTTTCTCTTTGTGGGCTTCCTTTGTGCTGTCATATGCTGTTATGATTCGATTGGGGTCCCTGTGCATTCAAAATGGCGCCAAAACCGTCAACAGGAGTTGAAGTATTTCAATATAGTTTGTAAATGTGTGGCTTTTGGTACATGGAAAGTTCTTCCCACTGAGATTTAAAGTAATCTCTAATTTTCTAAGACATGGAGCTACACAGTTTTCRTCCAATTTCGTGAGTAAGCTTACAGTTAAACATGGGATCATAAAGACTCAGGTTACAGTGTGTCGTTTCGCATTTTAAAGATCTGTAAAATGCGAAATCCTGGTTTCGCATTTTATTGTGTCGTTTCGTTTCGTTTCGTTTCGTGGTTTATGGTAAGCCAAACAAACCCAGGTTGCACTGGTGAAAGAAGGAAGGTGGGAAGGAAGAAGGGAAGATAACAAACGAAAGAATTAATAAGGAAAGGAAGATCTGCTACTTCACCTTCTTTCACCCCTGAAACACTTATTCGTCTAACAGATAGAACACAACTTACTTAGAAGCAAGAAGTTTCCATGTACTGGCGCCATTTTGTACCACTTCATAAAAGACTTTGATTGGCAGCTGTCTCGCGGGAATCCCGGCAGAAGTTTCCAGAACGTGTGTGGTCAAAGGACTACCTGCATTCTTATTTGGTGCTTTTCGAGACTTAAAACAGCACAGAATTTATAAGGTTCCATTTACATGAATGTAGGATAATCCTGGTGCTAGGGACAGGTTTTCCGTTCAATTGCGCTTTCCTCAGGGGACAATAAAAACAAAGGCCGGGGTTTGCGCTATGGGTTGCCCTGTACCTTTATACAATTTAGCGAACGAATTCAAACGAACTAACGAACGAGGAGTGAACAAACAAACGAACGAACGAATCCGCGGTTACTCAAATTTTTATTTGCTCGTTTTCAGTTATTCTAGCATAATGTACTTTCATCAAGCAAAATTTGAAGAAAAATTGACGATGAGATCTTTTGCCAATCATGCAATGTCCTTAAAGCTTAAAATCTGACAGAATTGTCACCATAGGCCTATAGTGGCGTATAAGTAGTGTATAAGTCTTGACACTGAGGTTTCAAAGAAGCCGCTGTCCTGCCTCGGACCAGGCCTTTTGACGAAAAAAAATATGCATATTTGAAGTATAATACTCGCATAAAGCTTCATTTGGTGTAGTTAGTAAAATCATTTGTAGTAACCGGCTTTCCAAGAGGAATAAATCCTCACAATCCACGTGCAGTTCTGTGGGCATGTGTTTACAGCATCTCACAGTTTGTCTATCATCTTGGATCCGCTTGCAGGTCAAACAGAATCAGTTTATTGGTCTGCTACATTTGTCACAATAGCCTCGGACAATCGCTTGGACAAGATGTCTCTCAAATATTTAGGATATCATCGAAATCTTACTTCTTGAACTACTAATTTCTCACAAAAACATATGCGTGTTTGGCGATTCGTGGCAGAGAATTTTCACTGCAAGGAATCGCCAGCGAGGGAGACTCTGATAGCAGGGAAGCGTGTTGGCAGTATTTCAGATGTTATGCAACGAAAAAAAGTCTAGAAAATGTTTTCTTAAACATCAGTATGCAAGATAAACTAGTTAGCAAGTCTTACCTTTCCTTTTCAAAGCAGTGAGAAAAATACCGATTAATATGACCACTAATAAACTAACCCCTTTCATCTCGATCTATTTTCGCAGACCACGTACAAGAATGCTGTTAGTCGGTTCAAAGATAAGTAATTTCAAAGGCTAAAATATAGAAGGGCTATTGAATAGCAATGAATGACGTCAACGATGCAACGTCATTAGTTGATCAAAGCCATCGAGTCTTTCAAGAAGTGTATGAGAAGAAAGCATTGTTTAAATACCTAGTGGCTGCATGTACGAGTACCCATGGATGACATCTAAACCTATCAGTCGTTACTTTTCGAAAGACGAAATAGTTTGTTAAATGCAGACGTCAATATTCAAATAGCATACTGAAATCAGTACTATCATTACAGTGGAGGATCCAGGGGAGGGGTGCAGGGGGTGCAGGTTGTGTCCCTATACTTCGAAGATAACCATTACAAAATAATGTTTTTCCCTTTTATTCTAAGGGGTGGACCCCTCCCTGGGTTAACTTTGGGCGCAGCACCCCTCCCTGAACAAATTCCTGGATACGCCCCTGCATTATATTATGTGTAGGGACCTCGAAATTATTTAAAATCTGATATAAAGGTCCATTTTTTAAATATAGAGGTCCACAAGGCATTCTGAACTCTGCCATCATTATGTTTGTGTATCATCGTTTGTATTATGTGTAGAATCATCGAAATTACTTGTTATAATTCCTTGCGTTCTGATTGGCTCCTCTTTTGACGGTGTCAGTGCGGTCGAAATTTGTCGCGCGACTCCATTTATTTACATATAATTAACTAAGAAAAAAATAGACTAGGAAATGATATACTAAAAGTACTCAGTCTTTAGGACTTATATGAGATATTTACTTTTCCTCCGTTTTTCAACTAGTTCTAAAAATCTGAAACACTGAGTTGAAAATCGGAGTGAAAGCAAATACCTTATATAAGTCCTAAAGACTGAGTAACATGCCGGTACAGTGCCGAGAACAATCTGTCAGCCGGCACACAGTCGGGAAGCAAAAAAGAAGCCACGACTTTACTCAATCAAAATACATTTACTGACAATGAGTGTAAGTAAACTTATATATCAAAAAGGTTACAGAAAAGGAAATTTATAGAAAAACAAACAAACAACATCCCTGGTCAGGCTAGGGGGGAGGGGGGGGTAATAAAAAATGTCATGACTTGTATTTCAATTAAGAAAGCTAGTAAGGATTTCCTAAGCAAATGCAAAGTTCCAAAATTGTTGACTGCCTGTTTCTATTCAATTAGTTATTTAGTTATTTATCATTACAACTAGTTACTTGTTTATCTTCGTCTTGTTGTGCCGACATTCTGTCATTTTTGACCCGGAATTTGTTTTTTCCCCTTACGATTGACGCCACACTCCGTTACACTCTAAAGATCATACTATGAATAATGTGTGTGAGAAATCGAAATTGAATGTGCAATCTGACATAGCTGTACTTTGGCGTGTAGCCGAGGAATTTCACAAAGCTATAGACGTTTCTTAAAATTTCTTGACTGTTAAAATCAGGTTTTTAAACAAGAAAACGTTTCTCATGTCTTTTACCGTGAATATCTTTTACAATATATAGAAGATATTTAAGCTGGAAACCTTGAATTTTTTTGAAAATGAAACTCCAAATACGATGAATACGATGGGATTAGAACATCCAAAAAAAGAAATTCGCCATATTCGCCTAACTGGCCAAATTACAATCTGTGGATATTGAATGGGCAGAACTGTGGTGAAATAATGATAGCTGTGTTGATCATCACAGTGAATGAGCGATGTAAGCGAACGCTGTAAAGAAAGACTTGAAAAAGTGATTTCGAGCTTCAACGGGAATCGAACCCATGACCTCCGCGATGCCGGTAACGCTGTAAAGAAAGACTTGGAGGCTTGAAGAACCCAACAAAAATGACCGCTCGCCAACAGGATTGGCTTCATAGCTCAGTTGGTAGAGCATCGCACCGGCAACGCGGAGCTCATGGGTTCGATTCCCGTTGAAGCTTGAAATCACTTTTTCAAGTCTTTCTTTACAGCGTTCGCTTAGATCGCTCATTCACTGTGATGATCAACACATCTATCAAATTACAATCTATAGAAGCTGAGCCGCTGTATGGATTTCGGCTCTGACCCTGCCACCAGACCGTAATCAATTGTCGTACGCCCAATGCAAATGCTTTGCTCGGTCTCCGAGCAGCAGATAAGTACCCAGGTTTTATTAGTTTCTGTCAAAAATATGGCAGATAATTATTTACGAACGTTGAAGCCTGGTTTTCACTATCGACGCAATCATAAACATAACGAAATATGCAAGCGCAGATAGTACTTAATGAGGATATATGATTGAATTTTTTCTTCTACTAAGTGAATACAAGGGGCTGGTTTACAAACCCTGAAAGCCTGTGATTGTGCTTGCGCATGTCATATGCTTGCGTGCTTCACTAATGAGGTCTCGACTCGGTTTTATCACGAGTATCTTAGTACATCAAAACTATAGTAGGCAATTCCGGAATACTTTAATTCCAAATATTGCGTTGTGGGTTACCTCACAGACCTTGATTCAAGTAAGAGATCCAGCGAACTCTAGATCTACTCACCTACGATGTCAATCGGTTTCCAGGAATCGAGTCAGAACATGACAGGTGACAGACGATTTGACAGACGATTTGACAAGTGACAAGATAATTATTTGTCAGGGGTCCATGCTGGAAATAGACCCGTTTTCTGGACGCAATGTTTTTACATATCAAATCACACGTCATTCCCTTAATTATTATTTCTTTATTTAAGCTGATCCACATTGCAGTCATACGAATTTTTTATTTTGTGCAGTCTTACCCATTCTTAAGCGTAACAGGTATTTTTTTAGAACATGCATGGAATCTGGATGCTGTTACCAATAAGGGTAACCTAGACTTGCTTCCTTTGGGTTAATCGTGCAAATAAATGAACGTGACCTAAAATGGGAAAACATAACGCCGAAGCTAAAAGTTCTTGAGAAGTTGAATATACCAACTTTCATGCTCGTATCAATTTTTTACAGAACATAAAGTCTCAAATTAAGTAAGTCCTAAATAGATATGTACTACTGATAAACAGTCTTCTTGTGCCCTTTGCTCGCGGGATTAGTTAATTAGTAAATAGAAATAACAGACATAACCACTATGGGTTGGGGCGGTTTCCCGCGGAAGCCCCTTTCTACTCGACAATATTTTCAACAAGAATCCAGGCCCATACCAAGCCAGGAGGGTTTGAGCCCCCCAATTTTAGTTTTATATAATCAATCCCCCCCCCC